CAAAAATGCACTACTTGGAGGTTCATGGTGCTTATTAACCAATTTCTCACCGTGCTTATAACCCACTTCTAACCCCTTAAGTCCCCTAATATGGTTATAAGTGCAGGTATAAGTACAGCTAGAATTGGTTCATCAGTACCATGAACCTCCAAGTAAACATTATATGATACATGCATATGCCACATTCAATGCTATATATGTATATATATATATATATACACACTGTATACTGTCTCATTCTCTATGGCATATGATTTACATATATAGTGCTTGTTGTATAATATCTTGTGTACAATATACCATATTATCTGCATACATATTGCAGATGATGTATAATACATTATATGGCCTGATTGGATACTGTGTTTTTATATGTCGTCGATTAAATACACTTCTCTGCATATTCAAGATCATGTATTTTAACATCTATAACATATTTTCGATGATCAGCTATATGTGCATATTATATACTATATAGAACATGCTTCATGCCGCATGTTTTATATGTTGCATTGTATCTTGTACGTCTCCCTTTCACTCTGCCGTTGCATCCGGAGGGTCAATAGCGCCAGGCAACGCATGAGGCTTAGCCGCTCTTAGGCCCCTCAACATGTATTATACAGTGTATATTCTCATGCTTGTTACATACTGTATATAAAAATCTGACTGCTAGATGCGCTATGGTATTTCTGACGTATATATATATATACATATATGTAGACATAGTAGGCATTTATATAAAACTTACTAAGTATTTCTAGGTGCAACCCGAGGTCAACGAGGCAAGATCCAGGTTTGCGGAGCTCTCCGAAGCAGGCGCATGAACATGCGCTCATGCGGACCGGGATCGGCGACAGCGATCTGTAACTCAAGATCCCTGCGTAATCCTGGGCCCTCGAAAATCCATTTGCGGCGTAATTTTGCGGCCGTAACCCTCAAGTCTACCCAAAGGTCGTGTTGAACCATTCAATACTGAACTTCTCCCCGTAAATTTTAAATAATAGTGACACCCCCCCCCTCTCTTCCTCGAAATTACCAACACAAGACAACTCTGAGGGGATTGGTCGAGAAGCCTGTTCAGGCAGAGGTAAACACACTCTAGCTATGCTAGCTGTCGTGATTCCATGTACATTCTGATGTCTTCTCGAAAATACACTCTGCTAAGTATATACGTCTATACTAGAGTAAGCATTATATATCGCGCCGGCAGCTTCCAGCTCCAACACGATGGCAGTTGGCATACGAAGAACCATCTTCACAACCCTATACCCTAAACCCTAAACCCTCAAGCCTAAACCCTAAACCCTGAACCCTAAACCCTAAACCCTAAACATGCGGATCTAAGGATGCCTTTGGCACGCAGCAATTGAGCTCGAGGCTGAGCAATCCTTCAGGTCATCCAGCCTTCGGACCGGTTTGAGAAGCAAAGCGGGGTCTGGGGTTTAGGGTTTAGGGTTTAGGGTTTAATCGCTCACACTCGGACGAGGCACACACTGAGGGTTTCATGGCATTTCATGGCAAGCGAATGTCCCCGCATCTCTCGTGTGGCCCAAGCTCGGGAAGGGAGCTGTGCTTCCTCCTCGTCGTAAAGATTGCGTACATTTTCTGGGGTCCTGAAACTATGCACTACAGAGACATGGGTAACGAGTCACCTGTAGCAAATGCCAAAGCCGAACATTACAGCACTTCGTGAATCCAGCCCTGTTGATGCAGTCAAGCTGTGCGTCAGGCTTCTCTTGCAAGGCAGCCATGTACTCCGTCGAGCGCCTTGGCACAGCTCTCAATGCCATCTCCCTTCGAAACAGCGTCTGGTGCAGTTCTCAACGTTGCTCTCGACCAGGTGATGTTCTGAAACTTGGATACTCGTGCATGCAACACCACCATCGCCGCAAAGCGGCTCGACTGCATGCACCCTCTGCTTGAAGCGATCACGCGCCTCTCAGACAGGTGCCCACAAAACAAGGCAAACAAAACCCACCGCATGAAGCCATGGTGCTTCAACCCCTGCCTCTGCTAAAGTAATAAAGCTCCGCTTTCCAGGCCTTGGGCCTGCAGCGAGTTTGTTTTCACTGAGAAGTGGAGCTTTACATACGTCCGCTGGGTGGATGCTCTAGACGCTGGCTCAGAGTAACATATGCTGCGTGTAGTCATAGTTGTCTGTGCCCACACAGGCAACCCGAGCCGAGTGATGGCTGTGACCAAAGTGGGGGGGGCGCCAACAGTGTGCCCAACAGTTCTAGTCTCCCAAATTTCCGAGGCCGCATCCGCGGGGAGCATAAAAATCCTCTTCCTTCTCCTTGGGTAGACCAACAAGGCAGAGGTTCAGCAGCATGAACGCAAAAAGGGCCATCTGAGCTGGATGCTGGAGCGCGGCCTGCCAGTGTCTTCTAGGGGTAGCTGGCACCAAGAACTGCTCAGAGTGACTGCATCGGCTCCGTGGACTCCCATGATGCCGGAGATGCTGGTGAACCCCAAACCTCGAGCAGCAGCCACGTACGCAGCAGCAAGGTCCTGACTTCTTGTGTCATTCCCCGAACTGCCCGGCCCTCTTCCCGACTTCTCTGCGACTCTGCTCCTCCGACCGCCGGCGTGGCTGGCCGAGGATCCCTGGCCGTGGTCTCGCCTGGCAGCACTTGAGGCTCCAATCTAAGTCTGGTCACAAGAAGCTTTTCTTAAGTGCTTGACTAACCCAGCATCTTGAAGCGTTATGCAACACACAAGAGGGACCCAATGCGTGCACCCTGCAAGGTCCAGAGTTCTCGCCTCGCTCAACATAGCATCATCCTGTGCTCGCAAGCGATGGAGCATGCTCACCTGACAAGCAGCCACTTGCAACACCAGTCTTAGCATATTCATTTCGATCCGCGCCCCCCCGCCCCCGCCCCCAACCTGGCCTGGCCCCCCCTCCCCTGCCCTGGGCTTGACCGAGGCAGGGCTGTTTTGACTTTGCAGCCATGGACCTCTGTAAACAGTGCATACCTTAAAGGACAGACCTAAAACCCTACACCCTAAACCCTTGAAGCCTCCGCACCGGGCCGACGCCGGGCCAAGCCAAGCCAGGGCGACGCGCTATGTTAAAACATGTGGGATAAATCATGAGACAAAAGAAGCTACAGCTAGCGCTCCATCCGTACATGGCCTACACGAGCAGAACCCTGAATTGCTAAGTGGCCAGCAGCATCAGCACATCTCCTCTGCAAGGCTCCGCCAACTGGCCTTCACACGGCATGTACAAAAGGGCCAAGACAACTGTGCGAGCCATCCGCTCTGTCTCTTCACGGCTGACAACTCTAGCCTTTTGTATCAGAACGCAGACTGCTGCAGCGTATCAGTGAAGAATGCGCCCTCGCTTTAGCTGTGACGTGCACACTGATCAGTCTGCTGAACTGAGTGGCTGGCAGGGCTGGGCTGGTAGATACCTGGAACAACGTGGAGCTTCGTGTTCATCCGTAACTACTGTCCGCACTTATTGACCTTGAGTTCTTGCACTTAAAGCCGAATCTTGGATGTTCCTCCGGTGCGAACTCTGTGCTCGGGTAGAATCAGGTAGAGGGTCGGACTGGCTTCAGACCATGGTCTTCGAACACACCTGCTCTGAGTACCTACAATATTTAGGGTTTAGGGTTCTTTTCCCACCCGTTTAGGGTTCAAATCTGTTCACCGCACCTTTGGGCTTGGGATCCTCGTGGGCAGTGGCCAGCGAGGCGAGATCGGCGGCCTTGCAAGCTGCAAAGTTGCCTAAACTCAAGTCTCCCTGAATTGGGGGTTCACGAATTTAGGGGTACCTTATTGGGTCCTTATTAGAAGGGATCCTGCTATTTGGGGGTCTATATTAGGGGTCCCTTATTTTCGTGAAAACCCAATTTCTCCCGACTGAGCTCTTGCTGTGTTTTGCACTCGCCTTTTCGCCTCTCCACGGCAAGTCTTCGCCCCAGCAGGGCCTGGGTCACACAGGGATGCCTGATTCCAAGCAACCAGAAGCGCTGCAACAGATTGTTCTCAGCAAAGCAAGAAGCACTTTAAGAGGCGTGAGCACAAAATGCAGCCTCAAGCAGGTTGCTTCCGGCTTCAGTCAAGTGCACATACTTGCATGACGCGGGAGCCATGCAGCTGCACCCAAGGCTCCTGGCAACCTTGAAGAACCCCTCTTAATTGAATTGAACTCAGGAATTTCAATACATTATTAATAGCAGGGCCACACAGGTGAGTAAGTTTTTTGGGTGCGTCTCTGTCTCAGAAGAGTAGTTTCCTGTCCAGTCTGCTGTGTCGAGTGCCCGATCCAGTTCCGATGCCCAACTCCACATGCTGTACTTATACCTTTTTCTGTGGGAGCACTCGTTCTACAACTTTTTCCCCTAAACCCTAAACCCAAAACCCTAAACCCAAAACCCAAACCCCAAAACCCTAAACCCTAGAGACCTTCCTTCCAACTGAGGCAGCAGCTACGGTCCGATGGTCTTCGAGATGTTCGGGGTGCCTCAGCGCATCATCGACGCATCGACCTCTCTGTAGGAGTATGCCAACTTGTTTTGTCAATGTCAAATGTTCGTATGAATTCTTATCATTGCGACAAACTTTATTGCTTCGATGACTTTTGATTGCTACCAGGTCCTATGGTGAGCACTGTGGATCCAAATCTCCGACAGCGGTTTTTGCTCGGCCGATGGACACTGTAGAGGTCAAGGCTCTGCATCTATCTAGCTGGTTCCCCCTTGCACCAGTCTGAACCATAAGCCAAACACACAACACTATACAACACTCATGCAGCGGAACGCGCTGGAACGCCGCCTGGCAGATCGAAGCGATTAAGGTAAGTGAATATCATACTGAACGGGGCATCGGTGCTAAGACGGCGAATTATAAGAATCATTGGCTGAGGGCTCAAGCACCCGCGGCTTGTCGGATTCTCAACATCAGGCTCCAGCATTTCCAGATTGTTGAACTTTCAACATGCCTCCGACAAGCCTGCAATGCAACTGAAAAGGACCGTCAGCAGACCGTCAGCTGTCAGAGTCGCCGGCCTGTCAAGTCAAGTGACACGATGGTTGTCAGAAGGCTCGTGGCCTGAATGCTCTCAGTGTACTTCTGTACACGCTCGTGCAGTCGAGACCACGGCCGCATCAGTGTCATGCACGACCAACACACACACACACACACCCATTGATGCCAGGGATGTGCTTAGGACATGTCACACCTTATACGCCTTGCAGGCTTCGACTCTCACACACACAGGCAGGCCAGGCACACCGTCTCTGTCAAAAAACTACTCACAAACTCCGACCAGAAATCTCACCAAACAGACACGACCAAACTAGTAAGCCAGGGCATGCTTGCTGCACCTTCAGGAAACTGGAAATCTTCCAACCAGTTTCTGCTGTCACGGCTTCCTGCGGACAATCAACAACTGTCAGTAGTACCCAGCCAGACTGCAACTCTACAATGGCTACACAATGACCAAGTTGAGGAAGTGACCTTCCCAGCAATCAGATGTCTCAATGGCTTGAAGCCGGCTGCCAGCACTACGTGAGCGTGCGATTTCCGGATGAGCCGCTTCAGTCCTTCTTCTTCTTGGACGACAGCTTGCCTTTTGCTTTGGGTTCGCTGCTACCGCTGCTGCTGCTGCTACTGCTGCTGCTTTTCTTCTTGTCCTTTTTCTTCTTCTTGGCCTTCTTCTTGTCTTTTTTCTTGTCCTTCTTATCGTCCTTCTTCTTATCTTTCTTCTTGTCCTTCTTTATCTTCTTCGGCCTCGTCGGATCAGCTGGGCTGAACGCACATTCCACACATTCTGGCATGCAACTACTCTTACGAACTACAGACCCTCCTACCCGATATCGGCCAAGATGCGCTATGGGTCCAGCCGCTGAACTGAGCTCACTGGGCGTTTTGATGGCACCAGACGGATTGTCGGGATTGCCGTACTCCTCTGAAGAATAGGATGGGGCATTTGCTTGTGCGTGCGGCATCTTCAGGGGCTCCGGTTGTTTTGGGTCTTGAATTCATGCGGCCATGTTTGTGTTGTTTCGGTCATCTTGGTTATTCTGTGTAGGCGGGCTCCAAGCGAGCACCACATGCAAACTGCAGAAGACTTGTCTAGCTCCTTACTTAGCGCAAGAACTGTCGCTCCCTTGGTTTGGGATTACCCACAAGCGTTGCTTTGGGACACTGGTGTGGTGCATGCCAGTGACGTTTCCGTGTTGTGCAAAAACGTACTGAACTTGCCCATGGAGTCGAGCAGGAGTGAGGGCAGGACGTCGAACACTGATTTTGGCTGTTGAAAAGAAAAGGCTTTGGGACCGTCCTTCTCAAACTCTGCAAGCTTTGTGCTTCCTTTCTTCTTGAGCCGCTCAGCCTCGCAAAAGGCTGTGCGGTGTTTGGGCCATGGATGGAAGACCTCGCAGCAGAGCAAGCGAAGCGAAGCTTTCCGCCTCCTCCTGCTCCTTCATCTCTGCTACATACTCCGAGGCAGTCTGCACACGGCACAACAGGGTTTAGGGTTAGGGCTTAAGCTGAGGCTTCCTGGAGCACTGGCAACTGCCTACTGCGCGAGTGTGGATTGCAATGCTTTGACATGGATCTTTTCTGCTACCGCATTTCCGCTTTTGGGGTGGGGGGGGGGGGGGTATACGATGCTAGGGGTACCTTCTTGGGGTCCTTATTTTCAGGTGATCCTAGTATTGGGGGGTGTATTTTAAGGGTCCCCGATTTTCGCAAGCTGCCCATGTGCAAGGATGCCATGAGGAGCCTTATCCATCCTCGGTTTGGGTGGGGTTGCGGCGGGAGGGCGCCATCGCTTCGGCATGGCCTTCTTCCGTCTTCTGCTTGCTCTAAGATTCAAGGGACCAAAGGAGGGACCCTCAGAAGGGACCATAGGGGTTATTTGGGGGTTACTCGAGGGCTCTCTTAGTCTTGGGTCCGCGACACAAGGGTGAAGGCTGGCTCTGATGGACATGGGGGGAGGAAATGTCTGCGGGTGCTTATGGTGAACACCTGAGGCGTATCGCGCTAGCCGTGCTAGCTTCTCCGTCTGAAAGAGCAACCGACCATTCAGAGTCGTCCCGAATCGTTGAGTCGTATGGCTGCTTGGCTAGGGGAAACGCATCGCATGATGCATGAAAGGTATGTCAACATGAAGGCTGAACAAGGCTGCTGCAATGCTGTGAGGTCTAACGGGATTCTGCCCTGGTCCTCGTCCTGCGCTCGCGCTAAAACTCTCAAGAAAGTGAGGCCAGGGCCGCCACAACCTCACCTCAGATCTGTCCCCTCTCACTGGGCATCTTGCAGATTGCAGGACTCATGAACTGCATCGAAGTACATTGAGGGCGCGCTCCGTGCTGCCTACACCTCCGGAGGTTCAAACTGGCTGGTTCTCAGTAGGGAATGAGGGAATCAGGGCTCTACAGAATCCCCTTTTTTTGTATCACATAATACATATAATTATAGAGAGCCCTCATGGCACAAACTACTGGTAGAGCGTGCCCGAATCGCGGCCAAAGAGCCTGTCAGGGGCGCCGCGGACCGAGGCCTCACAGGCCGCCGCGCCTCGAAAAGTCAGAGCTCTCCCTGAGGGGTTAGGGGTTAGGGTTTAGGGTTTGGGTTTTGGGGTTTGGGGTTTAGGGATTAGGGTTTAGGCTTTAGGGTTTAGGGTTTAGGGAAGTTCGGAGCTTGGGTCGGGGACTTTCTCGGGCTGCGGGTCCGTCTGAGGATTGGGACCAGGGTTTGGGTTTGTTGAGGCGGCCTAGGCTTAGGGCTAAGGGTTTAGGATGTTTAGGGCTCAATTAGGCTCTTTCAGATTCTGATCTTGTTAAGGTTTCGATCGGTCCACAGGTTTAGGCTTCTAGGGCTTATAGAGTTTGCGTGTAGGCTTATAGGATTTTAGGGCTTAGAGTGGCTCCCCACCCCGACTAGAGCCTGCAATGGGGATGGGGCTGGAGACGTCAGACGACCATGATGCCACTGCATGTTATGTGTGTGGACGTTGGCTCTACCTCTCCCTTCCTCCCTCCACCCTCTTTGCCGGAGCTGGACCTGCCCAAGCATGAAATTCCGACGGAGTCAAGCCGCGCCTTCTGGCGCTCCATTGGCCCACCAGAAAAAAAAACGACTGAAAAGTTTGGTGCAGAAACAACAAGTCCGAGACATATTGCAGGACTGGCAATCTAAGCTCCTGTCTGCAGTGGACTGAATGGCCATGCCGCGTGGAAATCGGTCAATCTCCAGCACGGCCTGCAAAGCAGGCAACATGGGAGCTTTTGGGGGGACCCTTTAAGGGGATTCTCTTCCATTCGGGATATACAAGGGGTACCCCTATCTTGGGAACTACCCGAATTTGCCTCTCCAAATGAGCTGCAAGCTCCTCGTCTGCATCAGTGTGTCGTTAGCCCCCCCAATCCAAAGCACGCGTGGTGCCTGCGCGTTCAAGTCTCAGCCGCAGGGCACCAGAAACTAAATATGGGCACTGCCGAGCAGAACGGCCGAAGATCCTCTTTAAAAGAGAAGCCAACATCAGCAACATGACCAAAACACGCCTGGAAAGGAAGAACCTGTCGACAAGTTGGAGCTGAAGCTGCTTGTGAAGGTAATGGGGGATTCGGGATGCCTTCTGAAGTTCTCATGCATCTCTCTCTAGCCCTCCAGTCGAGCAGAAGTGCAACTTCCTCCTTTATAAAGGAACCTTTCAGATTCCAAACCAACTTCCCGATGGATATGGAGTGCCCCACCTTGCCTCGAGCACACCCGCAGGTACCAATCATGACCGCACCAGGTTCCACATCTTTTGCTTTTGCGTCTACCAAGCAGAATGCACAAGTCGGTGAAACAGTGCCAGAGCTGACTTTCTCGGATGCAACGCTTTGCTACAAAGCAGTTTCCGTGTAGGTGGGCTTTTGGATACTTCTAGGCTTGTGGATATCTGACGCCCCCCTTTCTACAGATCCTGCCTGTAGTTGTTGGCAATCCACGAAGGCACCCTCGCACCAGCCCCCTCACATTTCTTAGCCTCATGCCAACGTCCTCTTCATTAAGTGCTTCTGTTGAGTTTACAAGAAGCTGTGAGGCACAGCTGCGAGGTGCAAAAAGAAGACCTAAACCGCAGCAATTTTACGCAGCGGCGAAAGCGCTTGAAGTTCTTAGATGCCACCCGGCAGCACCCAACCCAGCCTGAAGGCTGACCACAAAGGCAGCACATGCTCTGGATGCTACAATTTCATCCCTGTTTTAATGTCTCTTCTTTCACCATTGCGAAGCAAGCGAAGCAGCAGGTATCTTTTCCGTGATGCAGGATCGGATCGGCAGAACCGAGGGCAGCACAAGTCATTCGACGAGCCTCAGGACGCGAACCTTCCGCATCATGCATCTTGCATTGACCGTGGCACCAGCACCGCCCATGAAACTTGCAAACGCGAAGGCAAACACAAGCGCAACAGAATCGTTGTTTTTTTTCTGCCAGGCCCTAACTGGTCTACACAGGCAGCCGTATGTCCCAGATCCAACATGCAAGCCTCTTGGATCTTCTTAGCCCTCAGAAATTATGTTTACACATACATATGTATCTGTACGAATCTTGAGCATAAGATGTCATAAAGGGGGGTAGTGGCGGCGAGTCACGGAACGTCGGAACTTCGTTGGATCCGGGGCCGTCGTCCCAAGCAGCGAAAGCACATGCCAGACCAAAGTCATGGCATGCGTTCTTACACGCTGCTAACTGTTAACTGTTAACTGCGATGAGCCCATTTACTTCCCGAGTGATGTGTTCGTGACAGGCACAGCACGCAGGAAAAGCACCGTCCTCTGACACTGTTCAGAGGAATAAGTCAGGGCAATGGCTTGGCCATCTCGCTGCCAACATACAGCATAGAACAGGAACCCCGCCATGTCTGGATTTAAGCAGTTTTACAGCTACCGGTGCCAAGTACTGGCACTAGGTTAACAAAGGCATTCCAGGGGTCCTTGAACGCCATGTGGCGAAGCAACCCGTTTCCATGCAACGTTAACGCTGAAATGCTGGGATGTGCACAAGCAGTGAGCGCACTGCCACGTCTCGTCAGTAATGCCACTGGCATGAATTCGGAGGGACTTCCGCATGGACATGTCGAGCAAACTAGTATGAAAGATTAGATGATGCGCGCAAACCCTCCCGTCTCTGGTCTCTGAGCAGAAACACCGCAAAACTGAACAAGCCGGCTCAGCCGGCCAGTTCATTGCCTAAGGCCATCCTGTGGCTTCCTACTCCTTACTCCTTGGCGGTGTTGGTCAGCGGCTGGCCCTCAACCGTCACGCCCGTATATGGGGTCCCAGCGTTGTCCTGCTTGTTCAGCTCCTTGGTAGAGCATGGCAAGACAGAAGGCGCCACTACTTTGAACATGACGCTTCACTTGGATACAACGCGGAGCACTCCCATTTGTTCCCAAGCTGTGCGTCATATGTGTCGAGCGCGAAGCGCCAAATCAAATACCTTGGAGTAGCACAAACGATGAGCTTCAGCCTATCAAAACACAATTCGGCTGCAGCATCTGCCTGCCAAGGTGCTGTAGGATGACCAGAAGCAGTGTAAGCACAGCACATGCGACGTACGAGGCAGCGATGGCAGAGAAGCCGAACACTCCGCGGAAGCACATCCCATCAACAAAGGTGAAGAAGGATGAGCCCATGAAGCCGCAAGTAACACCGTCGGCGATCCAGACGATTTTGTCGATCACGTTTGTTTCGACTAAGTCCCGCATCTTCGTTGCAATGTCTTCCAAGACCAAAGGCGTGACTGTGTCAAGTCGCTCAAAGGCAAGGTCCAACTGTTTTGAATAGCCTTTCACTAGCTCGGTGAAGTCTGCAAGTGTGCAGTCATACTCCATCTCCGCGAGGCTGCCATCACTGCGGAAGCCTCTGCAAGCAGAAAGTTTGATACGACCCCTTGTGCTCTTCGTGCGAACTCGGCAACTGCACAAACTTGCACAACTAGCTCAGAGCCGAGCAGTCGCTTTGATACGCGCCATCACCCGAATAGGTCATATTGACAAGTGTGCATGGCCCACTTTCATCTCGGAAAGTTTTGCACTTGAAAGTGTTGACCTTGTGGGTGGTCGAGTTTCGAACCACAAGTATCTGATAAGTATCTTTGTTTCAGCACCCCCCCCCCCCCACCCACCCCGGCCCAAAAAACAAAAAACAAAACAAAGGACCAAGGACAATTCTGCCAGTGCAGCATGGTTCGGTTCTCAAGCCCTGCTTCAGCTCCATGAAGCCTAGGCCAAGAACGGATCCGAAGGCTTGAACGTTGAACACGGTTGAACACGGTAGCAACACGGTTGCAACACGGTTGAACTTGTTTCAGCCATCTATTCTGCAGGCGAGGGGCTATTGGCCGAGTTGCATGCAGCTTCTGTTGCAGGATCACCTGGAACGGCAGTAGGAGCTCAGGTCAGGTCAGGTCCTTTGCCCCTGTCTTGGGAGTGTGTGCAATAATTTCTCTGTGCTTTCCTTCCCTGTGACGAGGCCCATCCCAGTGCCAAAGCGGCTAAGTTGCTGTTGCAGTCAACAAGCTGGCCGCAGCTTGCATGGGGTGGTGATCGTGGTGTGCCTTGAGCACGTGAGCGCATCGGTGTTTGTCTGTGTGTGTGTGTGTGTGTGTGTGTGTGTGTGTGTGTGGGTGGGTTTGTTTGTTTGTTTGTTTGTTTTGTACAGGCACAACTGAAGCTCCAGGCCCCAAAGCTCACCGCCAAGTTTCCGAACTGTTCCAGGGCAATGCTGAAGGATTCAATCCCTAAGGACAGTCAGAAAGACTCGGTCTTGCTTCTACATCTAGGTCAAGGGCACATCAACAACAATTGCACATCCCGACATTAACTGCGGGCATGACGCCGTAGGTCGAAGTCCCTTCCAACTCCCAGTCTTCGCAAGCTCCAGAAGACACGAAGAACTTCCGCAAAGTCTCGTTCAGCATCATGTTTCTGTATGGGTCCTCCGTTGCAACCTCCGAGTCTGGTAGCATCATGGCATCCATGCTGAAGTTCTGGATCGTTCCCAAGAGCATCTGGACAGTTGCCTATACTCCCCTTAGAACCTTAATAAGAATCTTTTTTTAATATCCTCTTGGGTTTTACATACACAAAAATACAAAAATAAATCCCAAGGGGGGTATAGTTGCATCTGAGCTAATCGATTGTCCCATGGAGCCGCCAGCGAGCGCGTTGAACTGGGCGGCGATCTGATCTGTGACTCCGCCCACCACTTTCTGCCTGCGCTTGTAAGACACACTGCGGCTTGCCTTACGGCTCTATGCCTCCACTTTGGGATGTCCCCCCTGATACTAACAGTGCTTAATAGGGAGTCTAATGGGGGTACTATAATCCCTGTTAAGGACCGGGACCTCATCGTCTCCGTGCCGGTACCATTGGACTCGACAGTGATGATGTCCAAGAGAGCTGCGTTTGAGGAGCTTTCACCGGGCCTCTTAAAGCATTGATCCACAATGCTCAGCCTCGGATAGAGGCCCCGCAGATTGATGAAGAAGACTCCATCAGACGAAGTATCCACTTGTGTACACATGACATGGTTCTACGCACATGCTCATGCCACAGCTTCTACACTCTTCTTTCGCTTGCGCTTTACACCTACACAGGGAGCCGATGCGGCCCAAGCATCATGACTGCTGTGTCAGGTCCTGCCATATCGAGGCCGAATACGCCAGACATGTCCTGCCAGACTCGCGCATGCTGAGCTGAAGGTGGTACAGGCGTGGTAAGTTCTGTCTGAAACATGTTGGTTTTGCTGCTGCAACGTGCCGCGCAGCCCCGTTAGCAACACAGGCCACTCTCGATCCTTCAGCGTTTGCCCACTGAAATCATCGAGAATCAAACCTCGCTTGCTCGGACCAACACTGACATTGCTTGCGGATGTACCGATCGTCTGCACGAGGGTGTCGACTGCGTGCATTGCTCATTCATGTTCTTTAGCTTGCTGTTTAGGGGCTTTCGAGCAAGTGCCAGCAACCCCGGCCAAGGTGTGCCAGCACATATGTGAGCAACTTAGGATATCCTAGTTACAAGTAGGGTAGGAGTTATATGCTTGCCAGCAGAGGTTCAGAAACTTGCGAGTGGCACGGAAGCCAAAAGAAGACTGCCGCCAACAAGGAAAGTTACCTTGGTCGCGGGCTCCCAACTTCATCTGCGAAAGTCGCTCTAGTGCTCACCTCCATCACCATGACTAAACACCCCCCGCCTGTCAGTGAAAGCAGGGTTCTGCGGCACTATGCCCTATGACAAGTTCGGCTCTACAGCACCACTCAGCCTGCAGATGTCGCAGCATGCCTTAAAAATTTCCGGCACATATTCTCATGTTACGTACATTTTAGGGACACTCACCATATGCTCATGTTACATTTTGGGGGCACTCACACTAACTTGTCTAAGACGCCCAAATGTAGAAGCACCCGCAGCACCACGTGCAGCATGCACACCGGTGTGCCGACGCCTTGCACTCGCAGCTGTTGCAAAGCAGGAGTGTACGGGTTGGGGTTTTGTTTCTGTTCTTTATGTTGTTATTAAATTATACTTGTTTTGCTTTCTTTTTAGGGCGGTGGTTTAGGGTTTAGTCGCTCACACTCGCACAAGGCCGGAGGTTCGTAGGTCTCTCTCTGGCGTTGGGGACGGTTTAGGCTTCAGCACATCCATGCTGGCATTAGGCTTCCCGTGCGTTTCCTGCTTTCGGACGGAGCCGTTGAGGCCACCCCTAAACCCTAAACCCTGAACCCGGAACCCTGAACCCTAAACCCTAAACCCTAAACTGGCCCTAAACCCTAAACCCTAAACCCTAAACTGGCCCTAACCCCTAAACCCTAAACCCTAAACTGGCCCTAAACCCTAAACCCTAAACCCTCGGGCTGCCTTAACTTCTCCACGCCCCGTGCGACACCAGCAGCACATCGAGGACAGGCCGCAAGACGCGAGCATACCCGCCTGGGCTGAAAGTTTAGGGTTTAGGGTTTAGGGTTTAGCGTTTAGGTTTTAGGGTTTAGGGTACGGGGGCAACCGAAAGGGGACCAACCAGGGTATCAACCCTCAACAGTTGCCTGAATGAATTCCCCAGAACGAACCAGAAAGACAAACACACAGGGTTAAAGTTCACCAGGTCAAAGGAAGGGGCACCCTTACACAGGTAGAGGGGCGCTAACCCAACCCTCACTCCTAAACACGAACTTTTTTCTTCGGACGGGCTGGCCATCCTTGAGCCAGATAAACAGCGGGTTTTGCAACCCTTCCAACACTACCTTTTATACAAACTGCAGCTCCGCACTCCCCCTGTCCCAGATATTGCTGGGACACCTTTGGAGATGCTGCAAAAACTGTCTTTTTCTGACAGCAGCCAACTGCTTTTTTGGACGTCCCATGGACATCGCATCCCTTTTTTGGGCATGCATATACTGGTTTTACGTCATCCAGGACGAATGAATTAAATCTCTCAAACCTCATTGGGAAAGACTTTCTACCATTAGGGATTTCCTAACCCTTAATAGTAACCACCGTACTTTCAGCACATTGGCTGTTCCAGCGCACCTGTCTTCAGAAAGAGAAAAAACCACGCCAGCATCCCTTCACACCATCCAGTCATCACTTCTTTTTCTTCCGGTTGGCGTCGATGCTTAAATGAAGTCGCAGCAAAACGTGTTCCAGGTCCGACACTGTAAGAACAGGATCTTGCACACACCTCTGAATTGAGGAGATCAACCCCTCTCTCTTCGCGCCTTCAACTGCTTTGCAGGACTGCCCCAGCTCCGCATCCACAGCGGTAGACGCTTGTGCATTCATATCAGAGGAACGATCCTTTTCATCAGGACCCTTCACTTTTGCCACCTCTTTCTTCTTTGGACTCTGACTTTTCTCCTTCTTTTGTGTCTTGTTTGAAACACTTGTCTTTGCGCGCGTTCGTGAAGAGGCCTTTTCTTCGCCAGAAACCACCGCCTTTGATGACGATCCACCCTTCTCAGTATTCACCGGCTTCTTCTTCGGCCTTGGAACCAGAAGAGTATAGGGATCCTCACTTGCCGCAGTCTTCCTCTTCTTCTTGGCCTTTTTTACCTCCTCTTCCACGTTAACTTCCGTCTCCGAGGTTTCGAGTACCTCTTTTTGAGCAGGAGTGTCCTTACTGGACTCCCTTTCTAGGGACCTCTTTTTGCCCCTTTTTGGGTCGCTCCCTTCTTCCAGGTTAGCTTGTTGAAACCATATCCTCAAATCATTGATCCACTCCTCAACTTCTTCCAGTGGAACCTCGTATGACTTCACTATTTCGTGAAGTTCCAATGAAGACAACATACCGGATGTCCAAGAACACCATTCTGCGTCCATCTGTTCAGCATCGCCCTTGAACTTCAGGAGTTTGAACACCGGATCCGCTTCTGCGCGGGCCAAATCTGACTTACCATCAGACATATACGAAATTTGCCTCCATCAACAGCTCCATCATCTTAGTGGCGTCATCGTACACCATAAGATCCTCTCCTCTTTGTCGTAACCTTCAGGAGAGCCTTTTCTTCCATCATCTCTCTGACCAGCGCCCCTTCTTGGGCTGTCCCTTGGGGGCGTCCTAGGAGACCTTGGCCTTTGTCCACCCAAAGGATCACCGTGCTCGAAGACGCACCTGTCACCATGACGGCACCTCCCAGACTGATAAAACTGGATACACCTTACACCAACTGCATCGTGCGAAAACTTGCAGTCCTCACCAGCGAAGCAATGTCTCCCAGCCACGAAATATTTACACCAAAATGATTGTAGCACCACATCATCCTTTGAGTGGATGAATTTGCAATTCTCACCGAATTTGCAGCTATCTTTTCCCCTGCTGAACCAATAGCAGATGCCTCTCTTCCTCTTCCCTAGGCGCTCCGCTTCGTAACGTTCCATGGGGCGATTCTGCTCTACATGAACATTGCCATGTCCCTGAGAACTGCTTTCTTCACCCAATGTGCTATCAGTATTTGGTGTATCTAGAACAGCGGGAAAACCTGGCCTTGGTCTTACCACCTTCACGATTGGTTTCCCACCAGCTCCTGAGCCATGCTGAGCTGATCCACGAATGATTGGCTTCTTCAAGAAGGTTTTTGTAACGCCAGCCTTCCGCACCGCTTTGATTGGAAAACTTATTGCTCCAACTTTGGGTCCAGATACATTCGCACGACACAACCTCCTATACCCGGCTCTATACCCTTTCCACCAAAGAGCCCTAAGGATTTCTCGGTAGCAGTAGCTTCTACCACAACCGGTTCAGGTTGACTTCCACTTTCCAACCCAAAACAACCTTCTTCTCCCTGATCTGAGGACTGGTCGACCTTTTTTGCGACCACCATGTCAAGATGATCCTCAGGAATCCAGGGCATTCCGTTTGTAGGAAGATCTGGACCACCACTTATTGGCCCTTCACCAGGATAACCTTTCGTGCTGTCAAAAATCTTCCCAGTCTGTCGATCTTGAAGTGTAGGCTCCCATAACCTTGAGTAAATCCTTTGCAGGAACAACCTTGTGGCGCTTAGCCTCGATGAACTGTCAGCCGCCTCCTCTTCAGGGGAAATTTCCGGCGCTTTGCCAGCAGCTTCTTCTTCGCTCATCTCTACGTTGATACCAGCAGGAACAATAGGAGTCTCATTACTCCTTGGATTCAAAACCGATTCATCATGTCCAGAGATTTCCAGCACACATCCCAGCGGATCCACCTCCTCATCATCATCCTCCATTCGTCTCCAGAGGTCCTCCAATTCATCGGCACATGTGGCCGCTTGAAGGAATTCTATCAACCGATCCCTTCCGCTTTGCCAGATAAATTCCAAATTCATCACCGTCCCTTGGCCACCCACGACAATGAACGGATGAACCAGTTTTGCTACCCAGGCCATAAGCTTAATGTGGTCTTCCATACCTTGAATACGGCTTCAATCGAAAGCTATTGCTTCCATTGCAGTTCCAAATGTATCGGTACTCCGGAATTCTTGCTCTAGACCTGGCGATAGCAATACTCCCATCACCGAGAGTGGATAATTCCCCACTGCCGGCAAACACGGATGATCATGAAACGGATGATGTAAATCACCATAATGACCCTGATCTCTCCTTTGAAAAAGGAGTTTGCCAGTTCCCAACCGAGCATTCATTTCATCCACAAAAATCATTTCAGCACATAGGTTTCGTGCTGACACCGCTATTGTGCTCCATAGTGCACGATCTGCCAAACCACGGCGCATAACCCAATCAGTCGTTGGCGACCGTATCAATTCTCGAGGATCATACGATGGCAGCAGTGCTGTGTTTTTCTCCGTCGAAGGACTTGTGCTTTCCACCAGCGCGAGGCTCAACTCCCCCTCGCCCGAGCTATCCGTAGACGTGCTGATGACCAAATTTCGGTCCATCTTATTCGATCCTTTCGAGCAGTCCTTCTTTTGAACCGGTATCCTGCCATCGGAGACCTTCCAATAGATCCTCCTAAGAAGACCCTTGGTCACTAACAGTTCATGCTTCTTCTGTGTCCTGAAAACAACAGATCTTTTCAAGCTATCGCCATGGAGGTCATTGCTCCCACCTTCACCTTCCTGTTGCCCAGTCTCATCGCCAGAAATTTGTACTGCTCCTTCTAGCGCCGTCCCCTGTCCAGCCACATCTTGCCCAGGTAGAACCTCATCTGTGGAGCCCACCGCCAGCGAACCACCAATAACAGAGCCATCCCTTGCCCTCGTTGAGACTGCAGCTCGAATCGAAGATTGTGATAGCGAAAAAACCTTGAGAAGACACTTCTTGGCGGGTTTGAGAAGACACTTCTTTGTCGCGCTCTTCGCCAAGGTCAATTGGTTTTTTCTGCTCTTCATTGGAGCTTGGAGAACCAATAGGTGGAACATTGCCACGTTTCTCAGTTCTCTGTGAATCCCTTTCACGCAAAAAGGTTTCCCACAG